CAATCCGTGAAACAAACTTGCAATTTTTGAAGACGAATGTGCGCGGCGCTGAGGCGAGAGCCACATTTTGAAAACCACCCGCCCTCAATCCATGAAGTTCTCGCAAATTTTGAAACTGAATGTGCGCGGCGCTAGGGTGAGAGCCACGTTTTGAACATCACCCGCCCTCCATCTGTGAAACTGCTGCCGAACTTCAGGGTCATAAATGGTGAGGAAGTCTCAGGCGAAACGCCCGGCCCGCCCTAACAACGGGCCTCGGGGTGCGACAGGGAGAAGTTATGTAAAAGGAAAAGGAATCGGGGAGGAGGAGGAAGAAGAAGAAGAAGAGGAGGAGGAGGAATAATCATAAGATGGAGAAGAAAAGCAATACTAATAAAGCGAGCCAGATTCATAATACAAATACTCATAGGAAGAAGAAGAGGAGGAGGAGGAGGAGGAGGAGGAGGAGGAGGAGGAGGAGGAGGAGGAGGAGGACGAGCAGGAGGAGGATCCGTAGCCATTATGGCTTAGGGCCCTCTGCGGGAACTCCATCCCCCGCGCGCGAGGCGGGAAGAGGCCTCCGTCCGCGGGCCGCGGGCCGCGCCCTGGCGCGTCGGGCGCCATGCCACTGTGAAGTATCGAAGACGCCTACGGCGAATCACCGCCGCCCCCTGCCTTTTTGGAAGCGCCTATGTGGCCGAACGTTGAGGCCAGACCTGCCAAGGTATCGGACCACGTGTTCCCCGAATCGGTTTGGAAAGCCTTCGGGGAACACGTGGGCAGGCGGAAGGTCATCTTGGCCGTCTTGGAGGCCTCTTGGGCAAGCTTTGGGCGATCTTTGGGGCTTTTTGGGCCGTCTCGGGCCAGCTTCGAGCCAACTTCGGCCATCTTGGTGGGTTCCTGGCACGTCTGAAGCCGTCGGAAGCCGTTTGGGGGGCCTCTATGGGCCGACTTGGGGCCCGCTTGGAATGCTCCAGGGCCGTCTTGGAGGCCATCTTGGGCGTCTGGGAGGCCATCTTGGGCGTGTTGGAGGCCTCTTGGGCCCTCTAGGGGCCATCTTGGAGGCCACTTGGGCCATCATGGATCTTGGAATCGGGGCAAGCCA